ATATGCTGTAGGTGCAACAGCTAAAGAAGAATCGAATTCCTATCATATCTTTAAACATAAAAATAAACACATCCTTGAGTTCATAATGCTTAGATTTAATTGTATACCCTGTGCCTGGAGACAAAGTTGCGAACGATTCAAAACCAAGTGTCACAGAGAAGACCAAATCCAATTTGTGTTCTCTAATGATGACAGTCTTGATGCTGCTCTTCATGATTTTCTTTGGAAAAGCCACCTCACACATCCTGTAAATTCTTTCCTAAATAAAGCAATGGTCAAGAAGTACTCAACTTCTCAAGAAGTACTCAAGCCTGTTATATAAAAGCAAAGCATGCCATTCTCTCCTAATTCTTTGCTATTTTCATCTGGCATTATTTTACAAAATCGAAGAAACATAGAGTCATGAGTTACTCAGGTTCCATAGAAAGAATGACCATCATATAAACATAATTGAAACCAGCTTAATTTTTCCAAGAGCTGTATTTTTTTTCTTGCCCCAAAACACAACAGAACAGATTTGGAGAAATGTTAAGATAATAATAATATATCACCCACAATCCCACTACCTTAAAACAAACATTTTTCTATTGCTTGATATTGCTGGTATTTTATACAAAAGTAACAGGAGATATCATCAAACATTTTGCATGTATTAACTTTGTGAATCATCACAACACCCTATGAGTGAGGTTCTGTTATTATCTTACAGATGGGGAAACTAAGGCACAGTGCGGTTGACTAATCTACCACAGGTCACACAGCTACTAAGTGATGGGGTAGTATTCAAACCAGGCAGCCTGGCTCACCACAGTCATAACCATGCTGATCCTGACTGTCAAATATGTACATAGCTCCATATTCAGTGTACACATTATTTTATATCCTTTTATATTAATTTAACTTCATATAGTAAACATTTTTCTAGGGCTTGGCATAGCCTAGTCTTTATGACTACCATTTTAACAGCTACATAACAGTTGTATATGCTCCATAATCTAGAATTTGGATGCTTCCTATATTTTTTTCCCAGTAAGGAAAATGAGAGTGCTCAGAGTTGTCCATAGACACATAATTTTTAAAATTGTGTTTAAATAAAATATTTGAATAAATATTTTCAACAGACTAGTTTCAACGGTATGCGCTTTATTGCGGCTTCCATACTGACTTTAAATGGGCTGTACCAGTTTAGCATGGTACCAATGAAGAATGGATGAACAGTTTCCGAGTGAACAGCACTGAATGGCCGACATGTTCTAACGTTTGCTACTTGAGTGGTTATGAACTGCCACTGCAAATTGCTTTGATTTGCATGTTTCCCGTCACTACCTAATTTACCCTGAGGACCCTACTCCCCTTGTAGCCCTCCAAATTTGAGGTTTCTGTGTTTTTTTTCCCTCCCACATCCCTCTTCCCATTGGACCTGTAAGCGGTAAGCCCCTTTTCTCCTTTCTCAGTATGGTTTCTCCCCTACCTAAAATCTCCCATTTAGAATTTCACGTCATCAAATGTTCTTACCAACCAGTCGTCATTTTGATCATGGTCTACAGATCCCTAGTATCTTTTCCCATCCCGTGATTTCTCCACAGATACCTTTTGGATTAGTCACTTTTTCTTATACTGCTCCTGCTTCATTTCTTGGCAATTCCAATAAACATTTAGATGATTGTTTCAATACTCATTCTTATCAGCTCCGTGAACTCCTCCATGACCTCCTATCTTTCTCCTAACCTCCACAACTTGTTCCCATGGTCATCATGAACAGTTAGACACAATTTTCTATCAATCATATCTTCTCATAACTAAGTCAAGATCTATCTTTTGAAAAATAATACTCTAATATATATGAGTGTATCATTAAAATAATACTTTTCTAAAACATGAACGTGATAGTATATTTTTGATCATGACTGCTGCCCTACAGGGCACCTATCCCATGATACGCTTGATGAAGGTTGTGATTCATTCAACAATCCTAAGCACAGACTCCACATGCTGAGGATAAGGAAGGCAACGGGAGGTTTTCATAAGAAGCTTTTATAAGCATATAATGGTCACATGATCACTTTGCCTTCTTCATATTACCCTCAGGGCAAACGGTCTAACAGCTGTTCAGTTTCTTACAGATGCATTTCTGTAAGTGATTTTCCTAGGTGGTTCCATAGTCCCTTCTTTCCTCCCTCCCTCTCTTCTTTCCTTTTTTAGTTCCTTCTCTTACTCCTTTTCTTCTTTCATATTCATTGGTGAGCTCAGTATTCATATCACTAGAGAGAAAAGTACTTTGAAGCAGCGTATCCAATATTTTCATATTTATTAAAAATATATCTATTTTTAAGATTATATTAATATACGATATTCATAAAAAGTTGATATAAAAACAGAGATACAAATTCTAATATTTCCTTCTAGTATCTCCAATAAACACTCTTGTATCACCCTTCACATATCCCACTTTAGAGATAAGTCTTCTATGGTACACAGGTCCTATTTCCATTGATTTTAGGAATCTCTCCACAGACAGAAAACCAAATAAGTTGTTGCAGAAAAGTGTGGATAGGGACGTTAGGAGTTGAGGTCAGGATACCCACAGTATAATTTATCCAGATAAGCACCCACACTTCCACTGTATAATTCGCTTAGGGAGACCCTGACCACCCATTTTCAGTTACATCCCTTATTCTTCAAACCTTCGCAATTATAGTAGAGTTCAGTTTTTGCATGTTGGCAATTTACACTTCCGTGGTCTTCAGTATTATACTGTGACAACAGATATCTGCATGACTAAGCACAATTTTGCATAGGGAAGGATCTTTTCATATTGACCACTCCAGTTACTGGCCATGTAATAGAATCTGTTGAGGTTTCCAGGTGCTGCTTATCTATGCAAGCCTCCCACTGCCTTGCTTATCCTCAGCATGCAGTATTTGTGCTTCTGATTGGTGTTTGATCACTATTATTAACTGCCTGACCCAAGACTTTGTAAATGGGTTGGGCAGATCTAGTAGCAACAGAATTAGCATTCTAATGCTTCTAACATCCCACATGCTCCCCACAGGCCAAGAGTGACAGAACATCCCTTGGTCATGGCCCAGCTTTCTTCATATATGTTCTCCAAGTTCTCAGCTGCCCACCCCACTGCTCTCCACTCCATTTCCTCTTCCACACGTTATTCCTTGGTGATCTTATCTTCCCCTTTGACTCCAGCCAGCATCTGTAGCCCTGGGCTTTATTACAGTTTCCTCTTTGACATCTCCCACACGGTCGCCATGCCAGAGACTCCAACTCAGTATGTCTAATACCTTCTCCCCAAAACCTACTACTACTGCTTCTGGACTTTTTGCCTCAGCAAGTGGCACAGGAATCTTTCCCAATCAGAAGACTCAACATGCAGGCTTTGTATCATACATTCCTCTTTTTCACCTTTACAGACATTAGCCATGTTTAAAAGCTTTTATGGAGAACCCCTTTCTATTATGCTAATAATAATAATTAATGTTTTTTCTAATTTCCCTCTGGTACTATGGCATTAAAACCCACATTTTTTTTGCTTCCACTCTCTCACTTTACAATTCAATTTCATGCACCTTTGCTGAAATACCTTTACTAAACCCTTGTAGAATCATATTTTGTTTGCTCAAAAACTATTAAGAGATCTATGTTGCATACAGAATTAAAAATTTAAAATATCCAGGATATCATTTAAAAGCCTACAAAATGTTAACTCCATTCTTCTTTCTGTTCTCAATGGTACATTTTTTTTTATTACAGCTACATGGGCCTACTCAGTTACATTCTGAAATTATTTCTCTTAAACATCCACCTGTCCCAAGCTCACCCATTCTATCTAACTTTATAAACTTCATTTCCCAAAAAGAAATCTCTGCATTCTCCTCCAGCGGTAGTTTGTGGGTAATTCTGTTTTTGATACCTCTGTTACACCCTCACCTATATTAGGGTGATACAGTAATCCTAACAAGGATATTAGAATTAGTTTCTTGGTATCTCTTCAACTAGGACTTGAAACTATGAGGTGGAAGAAATCATGACATATCATTCTTCGTCTTGTAATATGTAGTTCATTTCTCAGTTTACAGATGTCCTGGAATGTTTTTATTTTTTTAACTGTTGAATTGAATCTGGCTACCATTACGCAAGTAGGTGAGGAGATACATATATAGGAGTTTCTGAGTGCTCTTTCGTAAAACTTGTGCACATTATATTTGTACGGGAAATAGGTTCAGTGTTTAGAATGAACTTGGCTCTGTTATGCTTCTTGATTTCAGTGTTACAACAAAGACTGGATTAAAGGAACAAAAAACAACAAACAACACATGTTACAAGAAGCATTCCAATTTTCCAGTCAGAACTGAGTCATGCCAGAGCGACCATACCGATTTCACAATTAATTTAATGCAACTTTTAAAAGAATATAGAAATCCCAGACATGAAGAAACATGAGCCACAGATATAGTCAAATGACTTCAGAAGTATTTCCAGGAAAACAAAAAGCCTGTCTTAATAAGATGCCAACTCTGAAATTCCGTGAGATGCTTATAGCTGAAGCTTAATACAATAGGCCCATCAGTAAATTTATTCCTAGTCAACCAATGTTGCTAAAGCTTTAAAGAACAGAGAAATTAAAATGCGTTTTGCATGGGGAAGTTTTCCCCAGAGTTCCTCATTTTTATATAGGAAATCAATTTGCATCACTGATGATCATTCAAATTGGATACCCCAAAGTTGTTAGGAGGTAATGTAGTTTCATGCTGAAGCAATTTCATACTTGTTCTGATTTGGGATTTTCATTTTGTTTGTTAACGAAAAAAATTAATGAGCAATGTTACTAGAAATACAACTTATCAAACATTGGCCATCATTAAAGAGGTTTGCCATATACCATGCATTATGATCATTGTGCAGCTGGTACCTGGACTTCTACAGTGGAAGAGCCATTAATCAGATAGCAGAGGCAAGATTTCAGGGTACAGAGCGCTTACACATACCTTTGCACTGATTTGTGTTTTTGTCAAGAATTGCCTTTGTAGATACAATTTTTCCATACCTGAAAGAGAGACAGAAAAAAAATCCATGTTATTATAATCCAGTGAAGACACTCAAAACACCCTAATGAACACTGGGGCACAAACAATTGAGCATGGATAAACTAAGGAAACAAGCTCTGAATTCCCATTTCACACCTGGGTGATTTCCTTTCACCAGTTCTTTGTAACTTAGGAATGTTCTTCTCTATGTAAGCAAAGGGTTGAGCTCCCAAAATAAACTTTTCAGGCTGTCACAGGCAACCAAAAGAGGATCACATGTGATTGTGATCATAGTAACCTGCACCCTGCAGATCCATGGAAGAAAGCATGGACCTAGGTGCTAGACTGAACGGGGTCTGCATCCAGCCTTGACTCTCACCCTGTGTTGTAACTGTATACAGTTTCACCCAACTTCACTAATACACAATTTCTTCATCTGTAAAAATGAGAAACTAAATATATCAAATCTCCTGGTTCAATTAACCTTCATGTCTTCGGGAGTCCACTAAATTAGGCTCCAGGAGCAAGGTAATATAGTAGTTAAAAGAATATACTGGGGCACCAAACCACCATGGCTCAGATTCTAATTTAGTTTGCATATATCTGGTTGGCTAAGTAAGTAGTATGTGCTCTTTGCGTCATTTGATCATCTATACTGTTATTATAATGTTATAAATATATTTACTTAATTGTAATGAATTATTTATATTTGTAATGATATAAATATTTTTGTAAGTATATAAGATTAGGATAATCTTGTCTTCTTTACAGGGTCCTTGTGAAAGTAAAATGGGTTTACCTAACATGCTAAGGACAGTGGCTGCAACAGAGTAAGTGTTCATTAAATGTTAGCTTTTCTTTCAGTGATCCTCTCCCTGCTATCAGCTATATAAAAATATCTCCAGCCCTTGGCATTCTCTGAAAATGATGAGAAGTAGAAGGGGGTAAAGACTCTGTCCTGAAATATTCAAACATTAGTAGACTGTCAAAATCGTCCACCGAGAAAACTGAAAGGCATAGTTATTTGCTAAAAGATAATATACATTTACAATTTACATTGTTAGTTTTAAATGTCAGGGATTTCATTATGTTCTCACTCTATCTAGTTGTGTAGACACTCACCGTTCAAAGCTATTTTGTTTGTTTCATATTATCAAAATGCCTGTTACCTCATGCCTATTACCACACAAGATTATTCTCTTTAAAAACTCCCAATCCCCCCTTTCCCATCCTCCCAAAAACACTCTTTTTGGAGCTCTATTTCACCCCAAGAGTTTCTCTGTTGGGAAAATAATCAGCAAAATAATATCATATCTGAACAGTCTCTTTTCTAGACAATGATTCGTGGTACCTACAATCACACCCATTAACTAGCTGTAATGTTTACTAGGTTTGAGCTATTAAGGTAAATAAATATTTGAAAAATTATATGTATCTTAAAGTAGAAAATAAGACACAAGAAAAGAAAATGCTACTACATCTTTTTTTTCCATACCAAGCACCATTAATACAATATGTGAGAAGTAAAAATCAGAAAAAGAAAAAAAATTAGAACAGGTGTAACTATCTTACACCAAGCACATAAAACACTTAAGACAAAAATCCTTCTTAATTGGTTTCTAAAGGTGTTCCTGAAATTTTATATAAGAACCTTCTAAATTGAAATTTAGCTCTGTCTTAAATATGAAATTAAACACTACTGTGTTGTATAGTGAATTACAACTCACAACTGGACTATCAACAATAGTCAATGGCATGCATATTGTCCTACTATATCAATATTACAGGAATGTCCTCTACTTCATTAAATATAGCATATCTAGTCATTTTTACAGCAAAAAAAAAAAAGGTCAAATGTTTTCTTATGGAAAGTATTTGTGAGTATTTTGACAAGTAACTTTTTTATAAACAAAGAAAATGAATTTTACTTCTCAGAAATTATTACCACATTACTATAAATGGAAAATCAAACACGCAGTCCAGAAAAGCAAACCGAGTTATTTCTTGACTTCCTTATTTCTAAACACTATCTAGGCAAGACTTTCCAATAGCACAGAACCACAAAACAATGAAACACAACTCAGAGTATTTGACGCAATATCTGCTATGACTGGAGTAAAAGGGATTTCATTCCATGGCTCTGTTACAAGATTCTGCATTAACAATTAATCGGCAAACCTAGAACATGCTTTAAACAACAAAAGAAGGTACTTAATGGGCCACTGGTTACAGTTCGTGTCTGAACTCTCAGGATGACAAACAGGTACTTCCTGCATGACTGGTTCTGTATTCTTCATGGTCTGCAAAGTCAACAACTGATGTAGGTAAATAAGATTTAGATTTTTTTTTTTTTTTTTTTTTTTGAGACAGGGTTTCACTCTTGTTACCCAGGCTGGAATGCAATGGCGCGATCTCGGCTCACAGTAACCTCCGCCTCCTGGGTTCTAGCAATTCTCCTGCCTCAGCCTCCCGAGTAGCTGGGATTACAGGCACGCACCACCATGCCCAGCTAATTTTTGTATTTTTAGTAGAGACGGGGTTTCACCTCATTGACCAGGATGGTCTCGATCTCTTGACCACATGATCCACCTGCCTCGGCTTCCCAAAGTGCTGGGATTATAGGTGTGAGCCACCGCGCCTGGCCTAGATTTTTTTTTTAAAAAGACCTAACCACCATAAACACAAGACTCACAAATATAACGTACCTGTGAAATGATGCTTTTGTCAAAATATACTAGTAGATTATAATGAAAACTATTCTACAGGTTAAAAGTACATAATTTTATACACTCTGAAGGAAAATACAGATTTCCGAAGTAAAAAATATTCCTTCATGTATAGAACTTCTTACTCTTTCCCTTCTTAGGGTTTGGATTAAGACCTTAAGGTTTCATAAAGTTTTTCTTTATGCCACCGACCAGTGGAAACAAAAATCTAATATTAGAGAAAATTATGAGACCAAATTCCTGAATAATGCCTGGAAATAGACACCTGAGCACTGGTCCCATGTGCCTCCTGGCTCTGGAAGCTTTCAGACAAATGCAATTCACTTCTCTATCCTTTCATTTCCCACAGCTAGAGGAGATAAAATACTATCCACAGTCTACTTCCCTGGGGGTTTGAACTTCTCAGGGGAAACAAATAAATGAAGTAAACACATTTTATGCTATAATTCTTTCCATGTGGGCCTTCTCCAGCTAAGGTAAAAAACCCCATACGGCAATGTAAGGATGCTTTTTGGCATATAAATATGCAACCCCATACCTACATATTCACCGACTATCCTGAGTGCTCATATATTCTACAAATATAGCCAGGTGTCTAATAACATTTTCTTTATATTCTAAGAGTATGCTTTAAAAGAATAGCTCTTCTACAGTAACTATTTGCTTATTGTAACTGAATTTTATAAATTTATATATTGTCTATCAACTCTTTAAAATACTTTTACCCTAGCTTGTCAATAAAATTTTCATATTTATTTATTTTAAACAAATAGCCAGTTATTTTCTGGCATTTATTCTTAGTCTTAAACAGCATCTGAGTCAAACTATATTTGCTGATACACTTGATTATTCCACATACAAGCCTAATTTAAACTAATGGCATCTTTTATTTTCAAAGTTGAAGAGAAAATAGAGCTATTATGGGTCTACTCTTCATGAATTATGAAGACATCAAATTGGTGGCATCTTTCAATAAAGAATTTATTTTTAAACCTTTTTGCTGAATCACCCACTGTGTATATTAATTCAGAAAATACAGGCAGAGACTGAAAATAGAGTCTCCGCAGTCAATTAACTCTCAGCTAACTCATTTTTCACATGCCTTCTATATTGATACCAGACTAGAAAAAGGTATCACATTTATTTAATGGATGAAACATTATCCTTTTAGCAAATGTGGTTGTTTGCCTTCTTCTAGATGGCTCATTCATTCTTCGGCATTTGGGGATGGTAATGGAGCATGTCTGTAGCTTTAGGGACCCAGCTGGAATGTGGCAGGGCTATCTTTGTGTCTGATGGAATACATCAGCCAGTTTTCACCTCCATGTTTACAACCCATTTATACTCTGAAGCATTAACAAGTTCAATCTATGAATGAGTCGTCACAGCCATGCATAATTGTTATGGACTGAATTTTGTCTCTTCAAAGTTAATATGTTAAAATTGCAATCCCCACTACCTCAGAATGTGACTGTATTTGGAGATAGAGCCTTTTAAAGAGGTAATTAAGGTAAAATGAGGTTATGCGATAGGACCTAATCCAATGTGATTATTGTCCTTATAGGCAGAGCCAGGCACAAAATCACCATGTGAAGTCATAGAGAGAAGACAGCCATTTATAAAAGGAGAGAGGCCTCAGAAGAAGCAACAGTGCCAATACCTTGATCTCGTACTTCCCACTTCAAAACTGCAAGAAAATGCACGTTCACAAAGCCACCCAGTCTGTGGTACTTCGTACTGGCAGCCCTAACAAACTAACACAATAATCTTTTCTCCAAGGCCTCCTGAGCTTTGCGAAAGGGAACAGAGGTAAGAGGATTCATCAGGCAAGACTCCTTTTTAGAACGCTTTGCTCAGTGATTTTGCACTTGTCCCCTCCAAGCCTTTATCTAAGACCTGCAAGCTCTTTCTCATCTAACATCTGTGTATGACAACAGAAACCTAGAAGTATCAGAGTGTTACAAAGAGCAGACAACAAAAAATCCAGAACCTGGACCTTGGTCTTGTCATCTGGGCAGTGTTTCTCTCCCCCAGTAGACAGCCAAACTCTGTAATCATGTCCACATCAAGTAAATTTTACATGTCTATTGTGCAAACTAAAATATCTTTTATTAACATACCACTTGGGGTTAGTACCTTGCAAAGAACACAGAATAAGACTATCCAGCTGGGAGATTTGAAGAAAAGTTCCTAGAAGAGGAAGTGTTTGAAGAAGGGGCAATATATTGTCAATGAGGAATGATTTGTATGTGTTTTAGAGATTAGAAAAACAATTGTTTTCAAAAACATGAATT